TCTTCCGATGACGTTGCCGACAAGTAACTATTCTACTACCGATACTTTCAGAGCTGCCAATCCTTGATAACCCCACTGAGTGAGAATGACACAAGCCCGGGTCCAGGCTCAGCAGGCCCCGGTCAGGTTTAGGGTGACAGGGGGGCCAGGGGAAATCATATTTCACCATAACTACGCACACCTAGGCTATCTCTGATAAGGTTAAAAAATGACATAATTAGATTTAGACAGAAATTTACTCACATTTTAAAGAATCAGAGTTCACACTTCAACAGGGAAAAGACTTAATATTGTTTTAATGATTTTTTCATGAATCTTAGAGATAATATTTTTCAAACTGTTTGAATCTAAATATCCGCGTGAGAAAATGGAAGCATGGCGTGAGAGCGTGAGTTTAGTTGGAAATGCGTGAGACTCACGAGATATGCGTCACGAGATGTTGAAAGGCACGCACTGTATTTGACTAGAACATGGATACCTCCACGTGTTGTCAGTGGTTCACCTGAGACAAACCCTCAAAACACATGCATTTACAAGTGGACTGTCACTGTCAACTCAACGGTTCACATATGCGAATCATTCTGAGTAAAGAAAAAAATCATGAACGATCATAGCTGCAATCCTGTAGATTGAGTTAGAATGCGGAACATAATAGCTCTACTGTGAGTCACCCACCACTGTTCTGACAGCAGGTCTGCTGCACTTGTAACGAGCCAACACTCCATGTCAAGGTTGTGATGACATAACTAGTCACTACAGTAGAGAAAAGAGGACAGCATACAAGGCAACTGTCATTCATGTAGCTAATAAGTCACCACTGTATAGTTATTGACAAAGAGATGCTGCAATTATTTTTACATTTTAGACACTGTAAACTAAGCGCGTTTTCCGTATCACTGTGAATTGTCAGGCTGCGATAACATATGAGAGAGCCGGAAACAAATCTTGTTTCGTCATCTCCAAAACAATGTTTCCCCACTACTGTCAAATTTTACCTTGACCCTCTTTGAGACTAATCCTTGAGAGGAAACATGTGATTTCACATTTGAATTTAACTGAATTGAAAATGTAACCTATTTTAGAATCTTAAATGCATGTTGTTATTTCAGGAAATAAAAACGAATTTAATAGCAATGGATTGTTTTGTGTGCTTCAGCTAGCAAAACTTTCAATTTCTTTGAGTGGGAAAAAATATGTGTACAAAGAATTACTTTCCATGCTCAATACATTTTGAAATATTCAGTTACTCATGCTTTCAAATGTTTTGCGTAAGAGCATAGACCCGAAAGCCACACGCTCACCGGCTACAAGGGCAGAAAATGTACTCAGGAGAAAGCTACTGTGAATGTGTTATATTGTTAAGTGTAATGTTGTCCTGGACAGATATTTGTATCTGTAAGAAACATGTGGTGGTATTAATATAAACGTGTTGAATTCTATTCTGTGAATGACATACACTTATATATAAGAGTCTATGAGAAGGTGAACAGTTGTATGTACAACAGCCATTCCACAATGAGAGAGTTTCTATCCGAAACGTTTTAGTGAATCAGCATGTATGTATACTCATGCCAATAATGGTTGTCACCCCTCAGCCTATCAATAGTGAGTGAGTGAGTTCAGTTTTACGCCGCACTCGGCAATATTCCAGCTATATGGCGGCGGTCTGTAATTAATCGAGTCCGGACCAGACATTCCAGTGATCAACAGCATGAGCATCGATCTGTACAACTGGAAACCGATGACGCGTGTCAACCAAGGTAGCGAGCCTGACCACCCAATCCCGTTAGTCGCCTCTTACGACAAGCATAGTCGCCCTTTGTGGCAAGCATGGGTAGCTGAAGACCTATTCTACACCGGATCTTCACGGGTCGCTTATTAACAAGAATGAAGGGGGTGACAACCATTATTGGCATGACTATATGAATGTATGTGTGTGTACGAGCGTGCGTGATATTCTAAAAATTCTGCACCTCTTCGAAATGTGTCGTAGCCGAGTGAACGTCTACTGTATGCAGATGAAAGGTTCTAAGCAATAGTGATATATGTTGCTTAAAGCTAAGCAGACATTTGATTGTTAATTCCACTATAAATTTCACAATTGAAAGATTACGTCAATTCTGTGTTCCTCACCAGATATCTAGATACACTGATTCTTCGTTAAACTGTATCTTATTTTGTTTGAACTGTATTTGTTATTCGCGGTCTCAAGAAATATATTCCCAATCTGATTTGTAACAACCCTTCGCGTCAATCCCACATGCTCGATGGATGGGTATTCATTCCAATTTTACATATTAACAAATTCAATGTTGCCGTTGTATGTCGATGCCAATATGGATTCGTATAAAAATATACACAAGGGACAGTTCAGAGTTCATAAAACGGGCATCTTAAAGTGTGAAGTAACTACAGCTTGAACCTCTGTGTCTAGAGATAAAGTGATGATCAAGAAAGACGTCATATCATAAAATGGACGAGATTCTATCCATTGCCAATTTTCTCATATATTTTATATATTTAGTTAACTGAATGAATCGAGTTTTGAGACGTCGTAACGAGTGTTTTGCACAGCATGATCGTGGTGGAAGTGAGATGATATGACAATGATCGGCTGAAGTGCACTCCATATTTACCATGACAGAGTCCCGGGATAACCTTATCGGAACATCATTATCGAAACACTCATGGTAGCATTTGCTGGGCAACGTTTCATCTTTCACGGTGATAATGCTCGATTGTTCCTGTCTCACTCCAAAAGCAAAACATCCTTGCCATGTCATGCCGTAGCCAGCATTCAGTCGTTAACAGTCACCTTCGAACCTATCTGGGACGTTACTGGTGGACACTGATGCGTAGAGCATGGGTCGAAACATGCGAGCCTTGATTCGTTGTATGTCTGATCTAGTGATGTTGGATGCAAAAGAAAATTGAATTTGCAATCTGATCGCTTTCTTCAAAGTACTTCAAAGTGTGGATGGGCCGACGCCTTTTCACAAAGATGTCCTAGACGAGTACCTCAACGAATTCTTTGAGTAGCATTTTAGATGTTTAATAAAGACATATTTTATGGATCACATTGTCATTATGTCGTGATTGAGATGTGTCAATACTGATTCTTGTACTGTTGTCAGGCAGGAATGAAGTGACAGATATGATGACTTATACATGTATTTGGTCCTGAACACTTGGTGTGTGTTTAAGCTGAAATGCATATAGTGAACTACGGTTATAATGAACTAAGAATATTGGCACCTTTCAGCTTTATATAACCTTAGTTTAATGTAATCATAGAATTTGACATCATCCGAATTTGGAATGCTTGAATTGTTCTTGTTCTTTTGTCTGCAACCTTGGTGGACAGCGTTGCGAAAATGTGATCTACAATGATAGGCACTGTTTTACACATAACGATTGGAGCCATTTTAACACTTTGGACGGTGGTGTACTTTAGATACTTCAACTGCAACATGGAAGAAATACGTAACATGCTCTCGTCAATAACCTGCTTGCAATACAAGTGTCCTTTACGTTACACGACCAGACATCTTGGCAAAATAAGGACACATAGCATCAGGCTTCACTTTAAAAAGAAACTAATTTAGTTATAATGATGCAACTAGAACATTTCCTCAGCTAAATACCGATAAATTACAAGAAATGTCGAGGATCTCCAAAAGGCTTCCAGGAACCATTTATTGTTCCTCAAACGGTTTAGGAGGAGTAAATACAAAGTAACGAAGTGAGACAAATAATGCATCACAATAGCCGAATGTTATTTCCAAATTATTGGGCTCGACGATGTATTCCAGAAACGTAGGAATGAGTGTTCGAATCTCGATTCGCCATGATTATTTCTAGGTGTTATACCCGTCCTCGATGGATTCAGCAAACAGGTACCTGCATCAGTCCAGGCTTTCATCGCAGCTCACGAAGACAGGCCATAGATATAGGGATACTTCATTCAGTCAGAGGTTCTTTGGTATTATACTGATTCAGACATACATACAGACAGACAGAAAGACAAACAAACAGATATACAGACAGACATTCAGTAATAGGCCACTGGCCAATTAACATGCGTTTTACAGAAAAAAACCATCAGAATCTTTTATTTTCCCAACATTATATAAATATAGGAATGAATTATTTATAACATGTTTGTTTGTTGAAGACCGTTGACAAAGCTGTTTTGTGATAGAGGGTGTTTCGAATATTTATCCAGAAACTTATGTCTTATATCTAGGAAGACTTTACAATAAAGTAAAACGTGTACTTAATCTTCAATTAAATTAAGATTACTTTTTTGGCAAAAAAGACAGAATCTTGATTCACAAAGGACATTGTTATATCTATCAACTGATTCAAAGCATAAAGCATAAAATATAGCATGTAGTATCGGGCATTTTATATACAAGAATATCCTTATCACCACCACCGATAACAACTTCTTTCCAACTTCTTCTATCATGCTTGACTGAAATGAGACTCCACTATTGAATGCATATATAGAACGTCATACTAGTGCATTGGGATGTTTTGTATTGAACGAGAAGATGGCATGGGAGCAGACAAACAACGAGTTCGAAGGATGACGTTCTATATTTATCATATACCCTCTTATCTTTCATTAATCTGTTACTTAATAAAGAAAATCATAGCCTAGCGGCAGACATCCAATACACAATATTTCAGCAGTCAGGTCCTGCCTGCGACGGCTTGGCTACAAATAATTCCATACAAATGTTCTACTCAAAACCGCTGTAATATTTTAGAGGAGATACAAAAAATCTCTGGGGACTGTGCTGTGATCTGCCGTTTGGTTATAGATACATCTGTGAATAGATGTAGAAATCACGTCCGTGATATCGACGTCATCATTTCACAACCGTTTGTTTTAGTATGCATGAATCACAGATCGGCCGTCTATTCCGGAAGTTGAAACCTCACTGAAACCATGACGTTCATGTAGTGCCCTAGTTCAGTGTTGCCTGCACCACCAGAAACTTGAGTTCAGTAGTCCGTTCATCTCCCATCTGCCCACACAGCAGTAGCCTCAGTGGACAGGTACGTTTGTATTTTAACAACACCCATCTATGACATTTGCATTTATCGGATAACTGAAATCACCCAACCAACGATACTGAAGCTAAATGTAAGACTGTGTTGTGTTAATTTCAGGACAGCGATGGAAATTCAGGTTATACTGAGTGTAGCGCTGGCGCTTTTGTCAACACAGGGTAACGTTTGAATACATTTGGTATTTTGATTAAGTAAAACCAAAATATTTAAATTTGTAGTAAAGATTAATGACATTCTGTGAACACAGACTTTGTGGCAGTAATACAATCGCCTGTACACTTGTTTAACTGAGCCCGTTCGGGCACGTGAACCGTGTCGTTTCTGAGTGTAAAAAATATTTCCTGCCTTTTGATTTCTGAGTAGCGACAGTCACTTCAGTTGTGTTGGTTGTTCTAAAAAATATTGGCTGAGTATACTACTCTGGATATCACAATAAGTTTACTGATTTGTCGTACATGTATAGTGAACGTCCATCAATGGGTGGCAACATAAGGCTGTCAGTAGAATACTAATGTCAACACTGATGACACCAGAAGGCCCTGCCTTTAGCACGAGTAAAAGAACTGAATTGGGAAACTGGCTGTGTGTTTTGATGGATGTGTATGATATTAGATATAATTCATACAGGATATAAATATAATCTAAAATTGTATTCACTATTCAAATATACAGTCAAACATGAAATTAATGTTTACTATGAACGGGTCTTTTACAGCGGATAAGTGTATGGAGGACCAACAGTGCTCAAACTGCTCACGTTCAACACAACACTGCAGTACAGATTGCTTTTCTGGGTATTTCGGCATTAAATGCAAGTTACCTTGTAGCCAGCAATGCATAAACAGTAAATGTAACTTGACACGAGGTGGGATTGGTATATGCTTAGACGGTTGTGTACCTGGTTTCTATGGTACTCGATGCAATATCCAGTGCACACTTCCGAAGGGAAACTGTACAAAATGTCCTGGAGGATGTGATGGAACGTTCTGCCATCTTACATCATCTTGTGTTTCTGGATGCCATGACCAATACTATGGGTCCAGCTGCAAGAATTGTTCACCCAGATGTCAACACTGTAACAGGAAGACAGGCAGATGTGACGTGTGTCATGATCCATATCATGGCCTGGACTGTGAATACTCATGTGCACATTGTTCAACAACTGATTGTGTACAAACATGCGCACCTGGGTTGTATGGACGGACATGCTCAAAAAGATGCAACGCTGCCTGTTTGTCTTATCCTACCGCTATTGCCAATGATACTCTGACAAGTAACAGTTTCCCCTCCTGCATATCTGAATGTCAAAGATATAGTGGCGAGTGTATCAATGGTTGTGCAGATGACTGGTCTGGTCCACACTGTTCCTCGCCAATTAAATGTAACCCAAACTGTTTGGGTTGCAATGAGACGGGTGCCTGTATTGACGGATGTCCCTCTGGCTACTTTGGAGATGACTGTAGGCCTTGTCCGAAGTCCTGTTTCAATCACACATGTTACCCAAACAACGGGTTGTGTGACAACGGGTGTATCCAAGGACAATATGGACAATCCTGTCAACTATCCTGCATCCACTGCCCGGGAGGTGCTTGTCATCCTGGTACTGGGATATGCGGTAAGGCATAATGCATTTCTATATGTTATATAATTTCTTGTTTGAATGCAAATTGTGAATAGTGCGAGCATTAGGGCATTGGGAGCAAACGACTGATGTCAGTGATTGGTTTATATTTCATAGAATTACCTAACTGAATAAAAAACAAATACTTATAGAAAAAAACATACAAACGAACAAATGAAAGTTATATATATTATACATATTGTCTGAATGAATGTATAGTTTCTAAATCCTTTACACGGAGTTGAGAAAAATGAAGTTTATATTTCAGTCGAACAGGGTTTGGGAATTCATATATAGCATACTGGCCTCATATCAATTGGTATCAAATTTGGCAGATATACCAACAACCGAAAAGCATCTTTTCCGAGATGATTTAGACGGATATAATTACCACCTCCGATTTGTGAATTTATGTCTATTCACTGAAAGATGAAAACATGCGGACACAGATTCGGCTCATGATGTGTCTATAACTGTTATATTTTCCCTCCTCTTTTGTGCAGATCATGAATGATGCCACGATTTGAATACTGGCATAGACTCATTTATTCATTCGCATATGTGCTTGAAACTCAAAATATCATCAGTGCAATCAGTTGAAATGGAACATGTACCAATACTCATGTGCGAAATTCATTTGTAATGAACACGGAATCGGTTAATACAATTCATACATGTACTGACAACTGTTTGTTTTATTCCGCTTTTCAGTTGCCATTCAGGGTGCCATGAATTATGCAACCATTGGAACAACCACTGCACTGATTTTAGTCGTTGGAATCATTGCACTCGGGTGCATTTTTTACTTCAAGAGAGTCGCTTCAAAGAGGTCAGCACGTACACCTTGTTGACGTGTTGCGCAAATGTCAAATAGAGCCTGAGCTAACATTTGATTGGAGGAGATTATGTGTGGAACATATTTCATTATTCAACATTCCTGTTAAGTTAAGAATGTACATCTTCGGGAACTAGAACTGTCGCCATTCAAAGTATCTCAGACAAAATGTATTTGTTGCCAATATAATAATGATATAAATGCAAAACAGTTTGCAATTTACTTACATACCTTGTAAATATATTAAGATTACGGAACTAACTTATTGAATATCACAAGTTTCCAAGAATATGTTCTGAAACAGGCAGAACAGCACAGCAAACTATCAGACAAACCAGCTTTGTGATACTAGTTTGCTTGTAATCAATGGTAACTTGTAGCAGTATACTCTGTACCCATGTGTACGTTTTCAGGGATCGGCAAGCAGATGAGTCCATATTGACACAGAGATCAAGACAACTGGAAACAGGAGATAACTACACAATGCATCAATACGTGGATATAGACGATTACGATGAAGTATCTCAGAGGCAATGGCAGAAACAAGGACGGGAAGAGGAAGGAGCTTACGATGAAGTATTTCAGCTGCATGGACAGCAACAAGGACCGACAGAGGAAGAAGACTACGATGAAGTATCTCAAACCCATGATCAGCAACAAGGACCGGCAGAGGAAGGAGACAACAGTGACCCTGCACTTCCTGCTTTGGCTGACAACTTTCCTGAGCCACATGACAGTGAATATGATGATGGTATTCCTGTACTACCTGTGTTGGCTGATTACTTTCCCGGGGCACAGGATGCAGAAGACAGCAATGGTGGTGACACATTACCTGAGTCAGCGCGTGGTTCCCAGTCATACATTCCCTTAATGAGGGATGTGTTTGTTGATGATGCGAGAACTGTAGTCACGTATATATCCCCAACTGAAGACAACACATAGAGTAGCAATGGAAAATACTTTATGCCTGAAATACCGATACATTAAAATACGCACCTCTGTAACCTTTGTTTTACACACTGTCAGAGTGTTTTCAACATATGTTGACTACATGAACAGGTCACCTAGTCACATGCTGTATCTTCACAGAAGGCTGGTGGTGATTCATCACCATCCTAAGACCAGTAGCATCTGTAGTTAATGTCATTATGACCAGAGTGTTGGTCTGTGGTGTTCGACAACTAACAAACTCTTAAACTTGTGCGCATGATATAGGGTCACGACTACCTCGCCATGTTTGTTTTATACGTCTATCATCGACATTCTATAACACAGCGCATCATGGCTCTGATATCCACGAGCCTCTGTTGTCTGTCTGGTGACAGGAATACTATTCTTTGTAATGCTTTCCACAGGCATCATGAAGATGAAGCTTGGGAGTAAAACAATCAGACAAGTAGTGGACATCCCCGTTGGAACTGTTTGCTACCACTTGCTGAACTCTTGCGCTATGAATATCAATCAGAATTTATGTTCGGAAGGCAAAATCTAAACACAATAATTTGGCCAATAGGTTTAACTGAATCCTGAGGGATATTAATGATCTAAGACATGGTCGAAATCATATCTGCTCTGGATGGATATTTCACGCCAACGTGAAAGGGTTTTATCCATTTTGTGTATTTGTCGGTGATCATCGTCTGTGCTGATTTAGCTGTCTTGTTAACTATATAGCCACCCTATGAAAATAAAACTGCAAACTGTCGCCAATGCCCTTAATTACTTTCTCGTTGTTTAGTGTTTCAGTTTCAGGCTGTGATATACCAACCTATTTTCTGTCCTTTGTCGACAGGAATAATACAATGATTACCTTGTTTCACCGCTGTATAGCTGTAACATTGCGAACACAATGTCAAATTTCAGCTCACTTACTCACCTCAGTTTCAAGAAAACAGCTGTGTGACCACGCCAGGACAAAACTGTTTCAGGGAACGCGTAATCCTCTGGAACTGATATTTTAGTTTATTTTATAAAAAGATAAAATACAAAGTACATAATGCAATACAATGGATGGATGGACGTACTTAGTATACATACATATCATAAATAAATTACATTCTCTCCACAATTATGCATTGTACAATATGTGTATGGCCCCGAAAGAAATAGGGGCGGTGGGGTAGCGTAGTGGTTAAAGGCCCGGCCAAAGACCCGGGTTCGATTCCCCACATGGGTACAATGTTTGAAGCCCATTTCTGGTGTCCCCTGCCGTGATATTGCTGGAATCATATTGCTAAAGGCGGCGTAAAACTAAACTCACTCACTCACTCACTCACCGAAACAGATAAGAGCATAACATGTATGAATGTGATATAAGAGCAATTATTGCATGTCCTTACAGAAAAGCTAGTTTGGTTTTAGTTTCTGAATCAAAATCATTTGCTTGTCACGCCGAGAGGAACATGAAACGCGGTAATTCTGCCCCGACATGTTGGTTATTCTGACATTAATGCAGAGTATGTTCATGGGTCCATGACCTAGTATCCAAAGGGTTCTTAATTTAATCCGCCCTTTTACCCTGCCAGGTAGTTGTGTTACCTGTCAGTTATCCCACACCTGGGAGGGCGTTTCTTTACCGGAACTACGGTATACCCTCGTACTTCGGTCCTGACGATAAGGGATGTGCGAGAGGTACCGTGTCAGTACCCGAGGGCCCTTTGGACCTTTACCGTAGTTCCTCCAGCAACCACAAGACGATGATCTTCGTTCCACAGTTTTATTAACACTGCGTTGCTAGTCCAACCTACTCTATTTGTCACATAATTAGGAGACTTCAGCTGGAAAGCTTCAGTCTCAGTCGAAATGCTGGTGCTTTGAGTTTGTTTCTTAGTACGAAAGTTAGTGACAATCAGATGAGAGCTGGTGCGCCCTAGGCCCCAGGGTTGGGGTTCCTAGGTGCACACTCCTTCTCGGCTTCAGGTCTCGCACCTCTCTCCCGTCTCTGAGCTTTGCTCCAGCTTAAAGCTGGGTTCCTACGTCACAGCCAACACCCTTGTCCATCTTTTCTATTGGTCAATAACCCATAACCTGACTATCTATTACTCTCCCCCACCTCTATTTCGTACCCCCAATACCATATTTGTAAGACCGTGAGGTGGATTCCAGGAATCTCAGAGTCTCTCTCCCCAAACCATATATGACTCGTAGAGTACCAAGAACTGGTAGCAGGGTCCCCGGACACGCCGCTCTGTCTTGATAGTGTAGCAGTTTTTCCCCTACCTAAGCTATGAGTCCCCTCTCCTTGCCCCCATCAGCTCCAACGACCTACTTTCATGTTTATTACCTCCGCTACTGACTTCCTACCTAACAACGTTATCACCCGCCATTAATGATCACCCGCCATTAATGATGTCAATTGTATATCTATTATTGCAGCAAGTACAATAATCTCATGCCTATTATACGACCCCCTTTCTGACTAAGAGTGTGCCCTCACACTCTAAATTCTATCTTTATCAATATTATGATTCCATGCCTATAATACGACCCCCTGTCTGACCAACAGTGTGCCCTCACACTCTAAGTTCTATCTTTATCAATATTATAATTTCATGCCTATAATACGACCCCCTTTCTGACCAACAGTGTGCCCTCACACTCTAAGTTCTATCTTTATCAATATTATAATTTCATGCCTATAATACGACCCCCTGTCTGACCAACAGTGTGCCCTCACACTCTAAGTTCTATCTTTATCAATATTATAATTTCATGCCTATAATACGACCCCCTGTCTGACCAACAGTGTGCCCTCACACTCTAAGTTCTATCTTTATCAATATTATAATTTCATGCCTATAATACGAGCCCCTTTCTGACCAAGAGTGTGCCCTCACACTCTAAGTTCTATCTTTATCAATATTATAATTTCATACCTATAATACGACCCCCTTTCTGACCAACAGTGTGCCCTCACACTCTAAGTTCTATCTTTATCAATATTATAATTTCATGCCTATAATACTAGATCTCACACTTCACTCAATGATCCATACATCATATACTTCAGGCCACATGTGTGTTTAAGTTCAACCCTAAATGAGCAAAGACGATATTTCAAGAGAATTCTGATCAGTTTGAGAGGCTTTATGAAAGATTCATCCTCATGACATTCTACAACTTCCTCATATGCTTCCATATTGGCAAATGGCGGAATGACGCATTGGTTGTTTTGGATAACCGAAACATTGTCTGTGATACATGTAGATATTAACGAATGTGTTCGTGAATTCCTCATTGGTGTACACAGGGGTTCTACCACTGATCAAAATGATTTTGATGAACATGGTCATGTAAGGGGAATGTCTACTCAGAGATATAACCAGCCACACTTTTCTTTACACACAGAAAGAAAGTATCGGAACACTTATGACTTCAACCCCTACGTAGCCATATATATCCATATCAGAATGATGTTTGTTTGTTTGAGTATTTTGACCCTTCAAGCGCACCATACATTGATTACATATGTGCATGCGCTACGATCAAATGCCAGTACCATATACAATACCTGCAACTGTCATTAAACAAGTACCATGTTTCAGTAAACTGTTCTTACACTTCGATAATTTGGGAAAAATAAATGGATTACCTTTTTATTAAGCAAAGACGGAGCCTCTTCAACTGACAACTAACAACAAATAGGCAATTCATTGGTACGCGGAAAGTATGCATTTCAATCAGGGTTGTTTAGATTACAAGAGATGTTGTCGTCTATCTATCTAGAGAGCAGCAATAACGAAACCTAACCTGCTCACATCAACACTACTACACCCACTATATCTATCTAGATAGAGGAATTGAGAACACGGCCTTTCTCACATCAACATTAAACCACACCCACTATATCTATCTAGATAGAGGCATTGAGAACACGTGCTTTCTCACATCAACATTAAACTACACCCACTATATCTATCTAGATAGAGGCACTGAGAACACGTGCTTTCTCACATCAACATGAAACCACACCCACTATATCTATCTAGATAAAGGCATTGAGAACACGTGACTTTATCACATCAACATTAAACCACACCCACTATATCTACCAAGATAGAGACATTGAGAACACATGACTTTCTCACATCAACATTCAACCTCAACCACTATATCTACCTAGATAGAGACATTGAGAGCACGCAACTCTCTCACATCAACATTAAACCACACACACTATATCTACCTAGATAGAGACATTGAGTAACTTTCTCCACCAACTTCTAGAGTGCCACTCAAACAAATCATCAGATCCAGAGACTGATTCGTTCGATGCAGACACGATGTCGAGAGTACTGAACGCCAATGGTGGCCACACGAGGTACTAACTACAGCGCCACCAAGTGTCTTTTTGGGATCCTCTATCTGACTTTTTCCGACCCCTACCGAACATCAATACTGGGACATAACCTATGCGACGTTTCGTTGCATTACGTTGATTATTAAAACCAACACAATGTATCATAATTAAGAAAACAAATAAGTTCAAATTCTTATATGCGTTTCCTTTTTGAGAGAGTATATTAATAAACATCGATAGCTTATTAATTCTGCTGTTTTCTTTGTACGCATTAGTAGCTTGAAGGTAATGAGATGTTTCCATTTACGATAGTGCGAAGGAATAGACTTTAGTCTAATATCATTAAAGTAACTACATCTCAGTAAATAATGAAGTTCATCAGCTACTGAGGAGGAGTCACATAACTTACATGTTCTATTGTCTCTGGTTATGTCCTCCCATTGGCCGGTCTCAATAGTTTGAAGGTGGTCAGTTGTTCTTAATTCCAGAATTCCAGGATATAAACATTAGTTAGAAGAAAAAAAATAACGTTCTAATGGTATAGTCTTTTATAGTCTTATAAAATATAAATGATTTGGGGCTATTATTTATTAAAGACCACCAACTCTGAATAAATTGGGTTTTTTAAAACACGAATTCTACCTTTAATGCCAGCCATTCAGTGTTATCACATTCTGGATTACAGAAAATATTACCAAGACGTACATGATTTAACGTACATTCGATAAAATTTAATCACTTGTCCTAATGGTCATATTGCTTGATAGTCGAGACTTGTTATTCTCTGATGTTGATGTTTCATGTTTTATTATTAATCCCTGTGTGCCACAACTTCAGTCTTTGATGTCTTCAAATCCTTTTGGGCACGTTCAAATATGTCGTATCGTGCCTACGAAGATTTCAAAGTGCTCAAGAATTGTTTGCATCAATAAATATGCCTTATGCTTGCCCGATGCAACGAACTAATCCAGATATTCACTGTGTAAAAAGGGTTGTAATGAGGGAAACACAGACTAGCCTTTGTCCTGTATGTGTGTTTACATTGTTTATACCTACACAAACTGTTGTACTTGTTTCTGATGACAATAATGCTTTTTCGTATTTTTGTTCCATGAAAACTGAAGCCATCAACAGTGACGACTGGCTTTCATAGTTAATGGGATGATGCTGAAACATTTGTGTCTACTACCACACCTTTATGGAATCATGCATTCTGATTGGTGAATCCTGCTGGTTTTTTTGTGTGTTTGTGTTCAACGCCAGACTGAACAATTTCCCAGCTACTTCACGATGTAAATAATCGAGCTTCGAACAGACAATCAATGATTGGCACCATGAGTACCGATCAACGCAAGTAGGATACGGTCAGCACAGGAAACATATCTGCAAGTCTGTCCACTCGATCCTGATAGTTG